GCGCTCTCCTCACCTTCTCTTTCACTCTGAATTATTTACCACAATTTTAAGTTAAATCTCTTAAATTTTATACTGAATGCCTTAAAATTTGATGAGATTTGGTGATATTTTCAAGAACAAAATAATTGATATAAGTTTTTTTCTTCGGACTTTTTAAATTTAAAGCGTTGTCATGTAAAAGATGTCGCTTACTTTGATCTTTTCTGTGAAACCGTACGGCATATTTGCTCCAGTAAGTGTAATATCACAGGTAGTGACAGGTCGATTCAACAAATTATTACGTTTTGATTTTCCTTCAATAACAGTAATCGAAAAATAAACATATTGTGAGAGAATATTGAGCGTTGCTGATAAAAATTGGCAAGGTTTATTATTGTCAGTGCTTTTATATGTCTCATCAGCTGATAGTTTTACATTACGCATCTCTCCGGAATTTGAATTGCTTTTTAAAAATTTTGGTAAATCATTACTGGAAGATGGTCGATCATATCCATACAGGTGAACAATGCTTTTTGACAATTTACTAATTCTTTTGTGCTCTTTCTCCTTTAATTTCCCGTGATAATGACAACATTTTGATAATTTCTTTGTTCGGAATGTGCGATTATCACGTTGAATGAAATGAATCGATTCCGGATATTTCTGAATTGAAAGAATTTTGTTCATTTTAACCTGACCTTTCTTTTTGGACTTCTCGGAATATTTCTTCCTGGACATTTTCCGATTCCTATTCAAATGTTTTTTAGATAAGATTATCGTTTTTTTATCAGAGGCTAAATGAGATTTGTTTTCAACACCAGAAATGTTTGTCCAGTAATGCTTTTCTAAACTCTTCAATTTTGATGATGCATGTAGCGTATGGTCAGGAATTCGGTATTTGCTTTCCGAGATTGCATAATTAGATTTCATAGGTATCGAATTGTTTTCCGCATTGCGTATATCATCAATTCCGGGAATTTTATTTGAATTGATATCCAACGTAAAATTCCTCGTCAGAAGTATTGTTTCCGGTGGAGTAATGGAAATATTCAATTTCTCAGAATTCTTAATGTAGGTAGGAGGGTAATATTTTGCAACGGTAATATTTTCAGATACATTCACAACATTTGTTATTTCCTGCTGACTGCAACGTCCGTGATGACACGTTGACTGAAAACAACTTTCTGAATTATTTGCGAACTTCGTGCAATTACCATTAGGAATTATTTTACTAATGCATCGATGCATATTCTCATCACAGAATAGCCATCTTTTGCTATTTTCAGTTGCACACAGTGAGCATCCTTTCTCATCTGCTGAAAATTTCAATTTAAATTTTAACAGTTAGTTCATTAATAATGAATTTTTGAAAGTAAAAATCTGTTTCCTTTCTTTTTACTCATTCCTCATCCATTCGTTCATTTGGATTTTAACTGTTACAATCAGATATTTGCTATAGTTGATAGTTTCAATCTCTTCTGGTTTGTAAAATATAACGAGTAAGGAATCCGATTTAATCAATGAACTCA